TAACACAGGATAGCAAAAGGGCGAAGACGAGTCTTGTATGTGAGACGTAAGGGCTGACTCTTCAAAACCTTGGTTTTTCCACACAAACTTCACTGAGGCTGGGTTTGGACCTCCCTTGGCTCACCTACAGACACATGAATGAGAGTGAGCGAAAACCCAATGAATAATATCAAATAATGAAGTTACACAAACGGCATTTAGAACAACGTACTTCAAACAGCCTTGGGCCCAATTCATATTTCTGTCTAGCTTATATATAAATATAGGTCAAGTGACTACGGTTCCAAACACATCATATGGCCTTGGGCCCAATTCATTCATATCATTTATGTCGGACGGCCTCTGGCCCATTCATTCAAACCATACGGCCTCTGGCCCATTCATTCATGTCATACGGCCTCTGGCCCATTCACTCATGTCATACGACCTCTGGCCCATTCATTTATGTCATACGGCCTTTGGCCCTTTCACTCTTTCATTCATATCAAACTGGCCTTTAGCCCATTCATTCTATCATTCGTGTCAAACTGGCCTTTAGCCCATTCATTCTATCATTCGTGTCAAACTGGCATTTGGCCCATTCATTCTATCAGTCGTGTCGAACTGGCCTTTGGCCCATTCTTCTGACATAGCAAACATTTGTCCAGCATTCAAATTAACGAACTTATAAGACTTACACAGAAGTAAACAATTGGACAAACAACATATTCCAAATATCTTTATTAAGATATTACTCACAGTGATCGGCTGGATGATTTGCCTTGGAGCTTGACCCTACACATTCCATGAACACAATGGGTCACAAATAATTCAATTCGTCTTAATTCACATATTCCTCTTTAGGTTTCTTTTTTATTCTTTTAACTCATTTACAATGCTTAATGCATGCCTAAGAGTACTTAGAAGTGAAAAAGAACGGAAAACGAAGCACAGAAGGCATTTTCAAAATTTCAGAAACAGGGGTCCTTCGCTCGAGCGTGAACTTCCCCGCTCGAGCGGACCCATAAGGTCTGCAAAAGTACTGGTTTCCTCACTTTTACGCTTGAGCGTGAAGTCGGACGCTCGAGCTGAAGGTCATCCTATATAGCTCCCCGCTCGAGCGTGGACTTCCCCGCTCAAGCGGACATCATGTCTGCAAAATATTTTGGGAGCTCATATTTCCCGCTTGAGCGGCGGTTCCCTCGCTCAAGCGGACATCATAAATTCTGGGTTTTTCAGAATTGTTCCTCAAGTCCAAATTTGACCTCCAAGGGTCCAAAACTCATAATTTTGGTTCCCAAACATGCAAATACATTATATATCATGAGTACACAAACAATATGAGGCCAATTACTCAAAATCAATCAACATTTTTATATAATCATGGCTCATGCTTTCAAACCTCATATGAGTTCCATATCTTCAATAATCAAACATGTATGCAATCTTTTAATTCCAATTCCATTTCAAATGGGTCAAGTGATGCTTATACACATGAAATTCATCCAAATCATGCTTGCATGTATGATCCTACAACTCAATTTTTCATGATTAACAAACTACATGATAGATCATACAATCCTTGTTTATTTATGATAATTCTATGCATGCATGTACATTCTAGCTTCATTTTCAACTAAATATTTGCCATGAGCTACCAAATCACTTGAATTCACAAAATCACAAGTTCAACTCATGAATTAGGGGTTGATTACTCACCTAGGAGCTTCAAATACTCAAGTTCTTGGAGTTTAACTTCAAATTTTCAAGCCTTGAGCCAACCTTGTACAATTCTCCCGCTTTCTCTCTCTATAGCCGGCCTCTCTCTCTCACTAAAGTATAAACTCAGATTTTGAACTCAAAACAAATGAGTGTGAGTGCAAGTTGGCCTATTAATAGGCTCCTTTAATCAAATCACTTAAGATTAAGTAATGATGCTTTAATTAGCCATTCTGAATCTGATTATTTTCATCCGAATCAATTTTCAATTAAATTTCACTGTAGGCTCTAAAAATTACGCTAATCACAATGGTGTAGTCAATTTCGATTTCTGTGGCAGATAGGGCCTTCAATTTAAATTCCAAAGTAGATAATCATATAGATATTCCTATTGTGAACAGATAGAAATTCAAAACCACATATTTTCACATAAATGACACTCACAATCATATCAAACACATAATCACATTCATAATAAGGACCAATTAGCATAATACGGAATAGGGTTATCACAGCTAGACTAGAACAGTACAGTAGAGATGGCTAGTGTAGCTAGGGCTGACGTCAGAAACACAAAAGAATGTGAGAAGCGCGCGTGAAACTGACATCAACAAGCATAGAGTGTATGCGAAAGGGTGTGCGATGGAGCATGATATGTGAGTGGCGGAAGCAATATACGTGCCGAGGCTTTTGGAGGCGCGTGGAGATGTTTTTCGTGGCAAGGTTGGTGGCATTGGGATCGTAAGAAGATTCTGAGTAAGTTGATGTCAAGTTTGAAAATATTAGGCCACTGTAGATGGCGTAATAGTGTTTGAACAAATAAAGATGTGTGAAAAAGTTGTATGAATAGAGATGCTATAGTGCCACTATTATATTATTCAAAGGAAATTTGTGAAAAAAATATGTGCCTTGAGAATAAATTATACATTTAAATAATTTAGGGGTTGTTTGGGATGACCTAAATAAGTGTGCTTTTTGTCTTTTTATGAAAAGATGTGCAGAAAAATAGAGAGGTAATGTGATAGAAAAAGATAAAAAAATGAATTATTTGGGACTTCCCAAACTTGACCTTAATAAGAACTACTGAAAAATTAGACATACTAATTGAAATATATAAATATTTTTTTTGTTTTTTATTTTATTTAAATAGGATTCCCAAAGTTCAGCCGTTTAAGCAAACTAAACGACAGCCGCAAGGCCTCCCTTTAAATACCCCAAGTCATTTGTCAATATATGCCTTGGCCACAGTGAAAAAGTCTCCAACATTTTCATATAATATAATGGAAAATATTATTTAATAAATTACTATAAAACTTATCATATGATTCCAAGCTAGTTGTTTGTAAAGAGTTTGGTTTCACTCACACAGTTAAAAATAAAAATTATAAGTGTGTGAAGATAATCTTCCTTCCTAATTTGTTTTTTTATTGGGTTCGATTGTTCACTAAGCTTATTGATTTAAATTGTATTTGGTTCAAGAATTTGAAAAAAAAATTAAAACTGAAAAAGGTAAAGAAAAAATAATTAAAATGTGAATAAAATATGTTTACATATCACTTAATTTCACACACATTTTTTTGTACTTTTCTTCCTAGATCTTTTTCCAAATCCATAAATCAAATACAACTTTAGAAAAACCAAACTAGAAAAGGAAGGTTTATCTTCACCAACGTTGATGCGTCAACAAATTTATTTATTTATTTATTTATTTTATTGTTATGCAGAGTATCATATACCAGCTTACGGACCCCAAATTAAGTTCCTACAGTCTGGACAAACCTTTCGAAATAGAATATACACCGTGCAATTCGTAACCCCAAGGTATATGTTTGCGGCAACAAAATATTGTGGTTGATACCTTGATAAGAGTCATTTATGCACCTTAATTTGACTCGTTTTCAAACTCTATAACTTGGGATTTAGAATTAAATTTTTTAGTGACTATAATTAATACGTTTGAGAAGTCAGAAAAGAAGTAAAAACAAAATTGATGTAACATCCAGAGTAAACTACCGATAGGATTTTATTGTTGGACTTAATTATCATTAAGTTCTATTGAAAATAAGTTCTAATAAAATCATCGATAAAAATGATTTGTTGAGACATTTTTTGCATATGTCGCTAAAAATTAACAATTAATATTTTGTCATGATTTTTATAAATTGTCACTAAAACTTATAATTAGTAACGTTTTTGTGACGAATTTTTGAAACTGCAACTGAAAGTTAAAAATTAGTGACGTTTTTTTGTGACGATTTTTTAAACTATCGCTAAAACTTATAATTAGTGACATTTTCTTTGACAAAATTTTCAAAATGTTCTTGAAAATTAACAATAATAACTTTTTTAATAGTATTTTATGAAAAAAGCTATTAATTATCATAACACCTATTAAATGATAAGTTTGCCTATTAAGGCTTGCACATAAATCCCCCAAACATTTAACTCTTGTAACGGATGACAAATGATGTCATGACTTTTTTATTTTTTAAACAAAAATTGACTTTTTTGGAAAGTTTCCAAATGGCTAAATTTATATAAGAAATTAAGGATCTGTTTGATTTAGTTTTAGAATAATGATTTGAGTATGCAGTTGTTTTTAAGCTTTGAATTTTTTAATCTTGATTTGAAAAAAAAAAAAAATTGTTTGGTTATGAGTTTTGAAAATACTTTTGGGATGACTTGTAATTTTTTTATTTTTTCTGATTGATTGATGTATAGAATGTGAGAGAATGTGAGAGGAGAGAGGAGAAATGAAAAAAAAAAGTGATTGATTGATTGATTAATAATAATATATTATAAATAATATAAAAAAAAAAAGAGATGAGTTTTAAAAGTAATTTTGAGTTATATTTCAAAAATATTGTTGGTTAACATGATTCATTCAAATCATGATTCATTCAAATCATGATTTAAAAATAAAATCATAATTTGAACAGCAAACCAAACGCTACCTAAAAGTCTATCACGATTTTAAACAATAATATTTTTATAATTAAAATCTCTTTTAATAACTGTTTTATTTTAAAGTGATAGATTTCAAGCCACCACATCATTATTTTTGTATGCAATTTCCATATATCACACAACTGTGGTTTTACTACCGTTGAATATGTGAGGCCACTAATCCACACTCACATGGTATAAATATGTGACATACAGATAATTTTATCTACATAAACACCTTAAAGTAAATCAGCTCAAATAATTTACAAATTAATGTACTTATGTGAAGATGAAAGAATTTTTTTGATCAAAAATATTGCCGAGTCAAAAATAATAATTTAAAAATAAAAAATAAAATATGAAGATTAGATTCATTTTATCATTCCAATCCAAGGCAAGTGAACTCATGTATGTTATGGCATAAATAAGTACTCACACACCATTAAGAACATACAATTCGATTTCAAAAAGTACACAAAGAACAAACAACAGGGGGAAAAAAAAAATGGAATTCAACAAATACAATTACCATTATTTCATCTCCTCGGCTCATTTCGGATCATGCTCATTTCCGAACTTTCCATTCCCGGCCCTTCATAATCTGTATTGTCGTCGTCATCGCCATCCTCCACTTCATCTTCATCTTCATCTTCTTCAACGGCATCATTCAATATTTGTGCTTCTCTCTTCCTCCTCATTATCCCATTCTTTAACCACTCCACCACTTGCAACATACTAGGCCTGTTTTCCGGATTGCTATCGGTACAAATCATGGCAATTGCAATTGTGGTTTTCAATTGTGCGTGATCATACCTACCTTTCAACCTCGGATCTGCAATATGATCGAAAGAACCTTTTTTCACATATGGGGTAGCCCATTGCACAATATCGCGCTTAACACCACCGGGTAATTTCTCTAAAGGCTTCTTAGCACTAATTATCTCTAGGAGTAATATTCCGAAACTGTAAACATCACAGCTCTCTGACACCTTTCCCCACATAGCATATTCCGGTGCTAAATACCCTAATGTTCCTTTCACCCTTGTGGTCATATGAGTGACTCCATCTGGGACAAGCTTTGCAAAACCAAAATCTGCAACTTTTGCTTGGAATTCTGAATCTAAAAGCACGTTACTTGCCTTTATGTCTCTGTGTATTATATGTGGATTTACCTTATGGTGCAAGTACCTTTAACATGAAAACAACAAAAATAAAAATACTTTGATTGGTAGGTTCATCAACATGTTGTTATCATATTCACCATAATTAATTTAACATGGAAAATATCATGAAAAGGTTGGAAAGCTAGCATATTAATGACCAAAATTCTTCATATATGTGTGCAGAAAAATTGATTTCTTCAAAAAGAAAATCTGCAATGTCACATATCCATCCAAAAATATTGAAAAATGTGTAAAAAAATATAAGAGTAAATTACACCATTGGTCCCTCTAACTTAATTGAAATTTCACTTTGATTCTCAAAATTTTAATTTCATTAATTGAAACCCACACTTCTGATTACATTTCAATGTAATCCATCTGTTAGTTGCCAGTAAAATTTTAGATGGAAAAAGGCAACCAACAACTAACTTTGAAATTTTAGCAATTCTTGCAAGAAAAAAAATTAAATAAATTACACCAGTATTTCCTATAATAGTTTTTTTTTTTTTAATTTTACTTTGGTCCCTACAGTCTCATTCCCTACATTTTTGTATTCAAAATGTTAATGACAATTGATGAATGGACTACATTGAAACAAAATTGAAAGTGTGGGATCTAAATTAATGAAATTGAAATTACAAGATCAACGTGAATGTTCACTCAAATTAAAAGGATCAACAATATGATTTATACTGAAAATATATAGATTATATTCATTTAAAGTGTGATTCACACCATGCTATATATAAATCTACACCAGAATTCAAATTAATGGCAGGTGAATATTTTATGAATACATAACATTTCTTTGAAAAAAAAAAAAGAAAAAAAAGGAATGGGGTAGAGCTTTGATTTTTGGGAAAATGGTGTACTTCATTGGGTTTTTTGTCAACGCCTTTATCACATCTTAATTACGTGAACATTCATAATTGAAAATAATCATTAAAAATTAATATAAAAACCGTTAAAAAAACTATTGTTCTCTTGATTTTAATGGTTGAACATGTGTTTCTTTAAGAATTCTTTTAGTGAAAAAAATTTAATCATAGAACTAGACATAATTTTTTTTATATTAGACGTCCACCCTAAATGAAAAGAGTTGGATTCCCTTCTGTAGAGGGTTAGAAACTAAACCCCAAATTAAGTATGGATCTAAACGCTAGGGTTGCCCCTTCAAGGCGACCTGGAATGACTGAAGGAGCATGGGCTAAAAGCCCAGAGGAAGTGGACCAACAGTAGGCCGAAGCAAGTCCGACTCGCCAAAGGTCCAAACGGACTCCACGAAAAAAAATGCCTAGGTCAAGTTGCAAAGGCAGCACATGCAACGGTCAAGTTGCAGAGACAACACATGCAGCAGGAAAGTTACCGAGGCACTTTGCCTCAGTGCCGCCATTCCTAATATCTTCTGTTCCGTCGCCATTCAAAGTTGCTGAGGAAAAGAGAAAATCGAAGTAACTAAGTTGCAGAGGCAGTACTTTCAGCGCCCAAGTTGCGGAGGCATTTTGTCAGCGCCGCCATCTCTAGTATTGTCGGTCTTGTCATTTAAACTTGCCACGGGAAATGACTGCTGCAACCAACTCGCGGAGGGAATATCCCGCCAAGGTGATAGCAGCCTTTGGAAAAAGCTTCCCCTCTACATGTAAAGGCTAATACTTGGCGTTAATAGCAGGCCACAAAGGAATTACTAGCCTTGGGCTAATAGCATGCCCCAAAGTTCATTTAACTTAGTGCTGATGGCAAGCCCCAAGACTTACTAGTTGGGGCTGATAGCAGGCCCAGATAGCAATCACGCGAAGATGGGAACAGGGTAGCCCGAGCATAAGGGACTCCCTTTCCATTACCCAAGTCACGGACCTACCTTGGTCGAACAGACAGGACTAAGGAAGCTTCCTTAGGCTTGGTACTAAGGCACATATGGCTGATAGCAAGCTTCGTTGTGGCCTTCACCTTGGGAAGCTGGAGAGTTTGTGGTTAGGTGGCTAAGGGTAGAAGCTTCGCTGAGATGAACACGAACATGGCTGATAGCAAGCTATGGAGTCTTGAGAATGCATGTACTGGCTAAATAGAACTGAGAGGGCAAGTGCATCAGCAAGGTTTACCGCTGTAAGTGCACTTGCTGAGGTTTGAGCTGAGAAGACAAGTGCAGTGGCAAACACTCCTGCCGCAACTGCACTTGCTGAGGCTCAAGAGAGAGTTGTAGTGCCAAACACTCCCGTCATAACTACACTTGCTAGGGCTTAAAAAGGTAGTTGCAGAGGCAAACAGATAGTACACAGTACATGTAAAGGGACACTTGGCACCTTCAGCCTGGTGGCTCAAGGTAGAATATTCTATCTGATCCTTAAGTACATCTGTCTTCTCTTTATTTGGCCACTTGGTGCCCTTTTGGTACCAAGGAAAAGCCTATAAATAGGACCCATTTCCCAAGGTCCAAGGAACAATTTTTGGGAGATTTGGGGGAGATGCTGAGGCAAGCAGTAGCGGGTACTACAAGTTGACAAGAGTAGATGATCTGTTCAGAACTGGCTCTATCAACGCCAAGTATGTCAAAGAGTATTTTCCTTAATTTCTTTTGTCCAGAAAAAAGAGTTGTAAGTTTCCTTGTTAATACTTTCAAAGCAAAGTGTAAAGAAAGTATCATATACTTAGTAAACCTGTTACCCTTGTAAACACTTAGTGCGAGGAAAGTTTTCCATGCTTAGTGAAATTTTAGCATTGTAAAAACTTAGTCATGGCAGAGTTTCGTTCATAGAAAGAGTTTTGTTCAGCCTTAGAAGATATGTAAAGGCAATGAAAAGAATGCAATGAAGTAAGACTCATACTAAATCAAATCAAACCCTTCATGAGGGAGTCCATCAGAGTCACATCCCTAGGTAGCTGAGCAACCAGCTCAGAGTCTTTCTCTCTAAACCGAGCAAGGTTCTGCCGATACAGCTCCAAGGCTCCCTCACACTCCTTGATAGTCTCCTCCAAAGATGCAATCATCGTGACATTATTTGAATGTTCAAGGAAACGATCGACTGCCTAAAGCCTATCCCTCATCCACGATAGGTCCAAACCGTTCCTCTCAAAACTGCTCAAGTTGGCCTCAGCACTTTCCATGAACTTACTGGGGGTTGTCCGAATCTTCTTAGTAGCAAGGTCACGAATGAAGCTGGAAAGTGACTCCAGTAGTACTGTCTGAACCATAGATCCAGGAACGTTAAATGTAGTGAAGGTACTGGGGTGCAACGCCTAGATGCGGGCAAGAGTGGGGGTAGCTTCGGAGGAGACCCAATAACTTAGAAAATAAACTTTTCCTAAGGACTGAGGGGACTCTCTCACACTGTCATCGGCTTCAATGATTGGAGGGAGACTGGAAAAGGAACCCAAGGACTGAGACGACGCACTTCCCCTGAAGATGATTGCCCAGCAACATTGGAGTGGATAGATACTGGGTGGCGACTAGGCGAACTAGCCTCGTGAGAAAGGCCAAAACTGCCTACACCATCTTGTCGCTCCAAAAACTAGTCGTCCATATGGTAATCCTCAACATTTAGAACTGGCAAAAAAGTGGTTTCCATGCCCACATAAAAGTCTCGTGATCCCCAAGATTAGCTGGCATCTTGGGGAAGTAAGTGGAGTACAAGTCAACAAGCTACCCAGAAGTTGCTGAGGCAATTGGGTCAGAAGCATCAGCAACATTAGTAGTACCATGAGTAAACAGGTTCGCAGCTGCCTCTGCAAGTTGGACCAAATTTGGGGGGCCCACAGCAAGAACATCCGCTGCATTGAGAAGTGGGGTCTGTGGAACCAGTGAAGACTCAATGGACTATAAAGAACCTCTAGATACAGCTCTTAGAGAGGGTGGTGCAACTTCTAGTGGCTCTCTTATGCCACGATCCTCTCTAGGAGTCTTCGAAACAAAATCATCTCCACAGACAGAGGAACGGTCAAAGTGACAAGAATCAACAAGGTTTGGAGGTTTTGCACCGTCAGCAACTATGTCACCCACTGTAACTTCCATAGCAAGGGGGACTTGTTCGTTTAATGTAGCCTCAACAACTGGCTCAGCCTCAGTAGTTGGTTCGGCCTCAACACTTGGTCCTTCCTTAACATCTGGAAGTATCATTTTGCAGGTTCTGAATCTTGTGACCCTTGAAGTAATGGAAAGGTCATCGTCATCGTCTGAATTTGAGGAAATTCTGATGGCAGTAGAAGAACCTCCAGGGCCTAAAGGTTGTATGGCCGATGGGCCCTAAAAATGAAAAAAAGATCATGTGATTACTAAAATAAATGTAAAAAGCCTAAGGAAGTAATGTAAAATATTTTCTAAGTATGGGTACCTTTCGGAGTCTCTTCCTACTTGGTGAGGCACATGCCTCAGCAACTGATGTTGCTGCCTCTTAGGCTACCCTCAATCTAGAGTGGGTCATGTGTACCGTTACACCAATTGGGGGAAGAGCAACTTGCAAGGGTTGGACGGACGTTGCCCCGGATGGATGAGGCTCCTCTACTGTAGGTAGAGATAGAAGCTTGAAATGGCAGAATATACTAGTCTGTTTCCCCCGACCAGAGGGGAGACGAAGGGATAAGTCAGGCTGCAGAATGGGTTCCATAGTAGGGACAACAAGAGCACTGCTGCAAAAGTTGAAGAAAGAGTTGAGGTTGCGGTGCCAGAATAGCCCGTTACTGGGAGTAAAGGCACCTTCTCGTCCAAGTGAAGGCAACTCCATGAGGCCTAAATCCTCCACAAGTAAGGCGGTGTAGTCACGAGTAAACCTCTGGAAGCTCTGATGAAAATCTATTCGAGGTGGAGGGGTATGGGGAATACCCTGATCCATACCAAACTGTCTAAGGACCCTGTCTGGTAGATAGACTATGCTAGACATGCCCTCCTTGTTGCATAAGGGCAAAAACCCAGGGTGTATCATAACAGCGATAAGAAGGGAGTTAGCCTAGACGTTGTCAAGGAAGAAATCAACATGACGAGCCTCTAAGAAATAAAATGGGACAACAGAAATGCTTGGAAGAAGTTGGATAAAAGGGCGGAATACACACTCCTCCATGCGGTCGACGTAATCCACAAAGGGTCTGTTGGTGCCAAGACCAGACCACCGAGAGATGCAAGGGAGGGATTGGCACACTTTTCTTGTGACAAGTTGACCCTCTGCATCTAGAACAGGACAACTTTCTACATCAAGGACTTCATCGGTGAATAAGGGCTCATGATCTTTAGGGACGAGGCCCATAGCAAGGAATCGCTCGTAGAAGAAGGCTATCAAGAACTGAGTGGTTACAAAGCTCCATACATCATTGTGGCCCATGAATCGCTCCATGTCTGAGTGAATAAGGTTAAGGCAAAAGTATAAGTTCCCCAAAAAGAGGGAAGGACAGAGGAATCTGACTGCCGCTGCAAAGTTTAACAGCCAAAGGGAACACCAGAGAATTGATGTTCTCAGCGGGGTTGCTAGTATGAACAAAAAAAGAGATGAAATAATTGACAAAGGCGACCAGGTACAAGTCACCACAATAGCCTGGCCTAACTACGGAGTTGCGACTCTCCTCTATGATATCGCCCACAACTGGTTGCAAGTCCCTAAAGAAATGCTTCAGCCAAGAAAGGTATGTGGTCTTGTCTCTCTTGAGCCTCTCCTAAAGCAATTCCCCAGTCTTATGATTATACTAGGAGCCATACTTATGTGCCTCTCGAAAGGCACTTTGGAGGGCGGTGATAGCAACTTGTTCTGCGGAAGTCAAGCAAACTGGATCGAAGGGGTGGTCTCCACGGGGTACTTAAGCGTAGAAGGATGGCAACATCTTCGAGTGTTGGGGTTATCTCCCCTCATGGCCAAGGCAAAGGTGTGAGTGTCGTGGCTCCAGCAGAAGACAAACATATCAGTGTTAGTCTGTACCTTGTGCACTGACAACTCCCTCGAAATCAAAACGGCATTGAAGAGATGAACATCCCTCAAGTGCTGCTCAAGGTCACCATTTACAATGATGTCATCAACCCAGAGGGGCCAGTCTATTGGAGGGTCCGAATGAGTGCTGTAAGTAGATGTATGAATGAGGAAAGTCTCCATGCTCCACGCAAAACCGTAGTATGGAGATTGGGTTCACCATGTCAGCATCGTTCAAAGTAGCCTCACCAAAAGGGAGCAGAGGCTCCTCCAGAGGAAGGGCATCAAGAATGAAGGAGTCAACTGCCTTCCAGAAGGGGTTAGCCAGCCCTCCGAAGTACAGGGCCCTCCTCCACTCAATAGGGGGTGGGGCAGCCCCTGTCGGGTAGAAACTTTATGTTGGCCATGAGGAAAAATAAAGAAAAGTAAAGAACACTTTGGAAAATAGAGACAAGGAAGAGAAGAAGACAAGGACACAAAAAGTGTGTTGTGGCAGAAGTGGGCGAGTAATGGACCCAAGGGGGGCTATTTATAAAGAAGGCAGGAAAAAGCGCCAACACGTTTCCCTAGGCTCATTATGACCCGTCAGTCAAAAGGGGCACCTTCACAGAGCTGACGTAACTTTTAACCCAATCGATGCAACCCTTGGGTTACTTGCTGATGTCATGCACGCGCGGGAAACCAGGAACGTGTCCCCCACACGCGCAAGGGGCAAATTTAAAGAGTCAAAAATTAGACCCTAAATTAAGTATGTACCTAAGTGCTGGGGTCGCCCCTTTAAAGCGACTAGGAATGACTGAAAAAGCATGGGCAAAAGCCCAGGGGAAGTGGGCCAACAGTGGGTTGAAGTAGGTCCGACTCGCCAAGGGTCCAAACGGATTCCGCGAAGAAAAATGCCTAAGTCAAGTTACAGAGGCAACAAATGCAACGGTCAAGTTGCAGAGGCAACACATGTAGCGGGAAAGTTGCTGAGGCACTTTGCTTCAGTGCCGCCATTCCTATTATCTTTGGTTCCACCGCCATCCGAAGTTGTTGAGGGAAAAGAGAAAATCGAAACAACTAAGTTGCAGAGGCCGTACTTCCAGCGCCCAAGTTACGGAGGCATTTTGTCGGCGCCACCATCTCTAATATTGTTGGTCTTGTCATTTGAAATTGCAACGGGAAACGACTATCGTAGCAACTATAGCCGCTGCAACCAACTCGCGGAAGGAACATCCCGCCAAAGTGATTGCATCCTTTAGGAAAAGCTTTCCCTCTCCAAGTAGAGGCTAATCCTTGGCACTGATATTAGGCACCAAAGTTCATTTAACTTGGCGCTGATGGCAGGCCCTAAGACTTACTAGTTGGAGCTGATAGCAGGCCCAGATATACCAGTTTACCGCTGCAATCATGCGAACATGAGAGCCGGGTAGCCCGAGCATAAGGCACTCCCTTTCCATTACCCAAGTCATGGACCTACCTTGGTCGCACAGACAAGACTAAGGAAGCCTCCTTGGGCTTGGTGCTAAGGTACGGTATGGCTGATAGTAGGCTTCGTTGTGGCCTTCGCCCTGGGAAGCTAGAGAATTTGTGGTTAGGTGGCTAAGGGTAGAAACTTCGCTGAGGTGAACACGAAAATGACTGATAGCAAGCTATAGAGTCTTGAGAATGCATGTACTGGCTGAATAGAACTGAGAAGGCAATTGCAGCAGTAAGGTTTTCCGCTACAAGTGCACTTGCTAAGGTTCGAGCTGAGAAGGCAAGTGTAGTGGCAAACACTTTCGCCGCAACTATACTTGCAAAGGCTCAAGAGAGAGTTGTAGCACCAAACACTCCCGTCATAACTACACTTGTTGGGGCTCAAAAAGGTAGTTGCGGAGGCAAACAGATAGTACACAGTACATGCAGACGGACACGTGGCATCTTCAACTTGGTGGCTCAAGGTAGAATATTCTGTGTGATCCTTAAGGACACCTGTCTTCTCTGTATTTGGCCACTTGGTGCCCTTTTGGTACCAAGGAAAAACCTATAAATAGGACCCATTTCTCAAGGTCCAAGGAACAATTTTTAGGGGATTTAGGGGAGATGCTGCCCATTTGTGCACTGCCACACATTTCTTCTTGAGCTACTTGCTTCACGCTCACCTAGCTATACACTCTTCAACTTCCCAGACAGTTACTACTGCTCATCCTCCAGTCATTCCACCATTGTTTGACCATTAGCATAGTTTTGCCTTTCTAATTATCTTCCTAACCTTGAAACCCCCCTACACCTTGAATTCATATTTTGAATTGGATTGCACTATTCAAGTCCTTGAGGTCACCGTACGTCTTATGTCAATAATCTGAATCATTCAAAGTCCTTAGTCTATAATATCCACATATGAAAATTAGATAAATTCGATAATCGTGGTCTATTAATATATGGTCAAATTACACTGATAATCTCTATATTTTGTCCCTAGTGTCATTTTAGTCCCTCACTTTCAATTGGTTCAATTTTGACTCTTAATTTTAAATTTTGTATTATTTTGGTCCAATTGATAATGCCGTTTATGTTTTTGACAAAAAATAATTACTGAATTAGTTGAGTTTAACTCATTAAGTTTAGTAAGTTTATAATTTTACTCTAAAAAAATATGACGCTCGACACTTATATGCATATTTTTCATTAAAAAAAATGTTAAGAGTTGTAATCAATTAGATCAAATTAAAACAAAATTATAAATTCAAAGTCAAAATTGGTACAATTGAAATTATAGGAACTAAAATGACAAAGATCAAATTATAGTAATTTGCCCTTAATATAGTGTGTTTGTCATGAAAAGCACAAATAATTTAGTTTTAAAAATACATTTGTCGTTCATTTTTTAAAACAAAAATACAATAAATTGAATATGCTACTATTTTTGGAATGACCTAATTTTTTTTTAATGTAAATAAAATATACAAAAGATTCTATAAAATAAATAATTCAAATTATCATAATATGATATGTGGTCATCCCCATAGGCCTGAACAACGTCTTCAAGTGAATCCAACACCACAAAACTAATTAGTGCGTTTGGTTTTAGTTTTCTAAATTCAGTTTTTTAAAAATTAAATTTTTTATTTTTTGTATTTTTTTATTTTTAGTTAATATTTTTTAAATTTTAAACAATTTTTTTAACCTTTTACCTTTTTAAAATATTTGTGAAAAAATATTTTAAAAATTTAATAAACACATAAAAATACGAAAAATTTACTAGATTTTTGTATTTTTCTTTTAATTTTTTGGTATTTAGTGTATTTTTAAAGATTTTTTTTATAAATATTATACTTTTTAATTGTATTTATGTTAAGTGTATCTAAAAGTTTTAAAAAAAAATTACTTAAAATATTAAAAAAATTCATTGAAAACATAAAAATATGAAAAATTAAAAATTAAAATTTTTCAAATATTATTTTTTGAAAATCTGAACCAAGCAAAGTGATTCGATTATGTGATAGGAGGTTGTTGACTTGAGTTATTTTCTAAGGTAAAGCAAATATTAAAATACTTACGCAATTCCTTCTGCAGAACCGATGGCAATGCTCATTCTGCGAGGCCAATCTAATAAACAATCAGAAGCGAGTTGGCCATGGAGATGGGTGATCAAACTATGGTTAGGCATATAATCATAGACAATAAGCCTTTCATCACCACCAGCATAGAAACCTCCCAGCCCCAACAGATTCCTATGTCTTACCCTACCAAGTATCTCCACCTCCATTGCAAATTCCGTCTCTGCCTTTGCATTCATTGCTTTTAGCCTTTTCACTGCTATCTGCATAATCTTCAAATAATTACACTTCTTCATCAATAAAATCAAACACACTCACATAAACCTATTTTCATTATTTGTTCTTTTTATATTTGAAAGGGCTGATCCGGTGGTCAAGGTCGGGAGCTTGAGGTATGTTGGTATGCTCCCTACATGATCTTTGACTCGAAACTTCTTAGGTGACAATAATTTTTAAAAGTCAGTTCACACGGGGTAAAACCTTAACTTTAATTTATTTATTTTTTATTTATTTTTTTTTTATCAATAAAGAAAAAGATTTATTCATAGAAAGAAGGAAGGTACAAGAGAAAAAGTCATGGCTTTAATTGAGGCCTAGCTTTAAATGAGATTGGTCTACTGGATTAGTCTTAGCCTTGGATTATCAAAATTTATTTCTTCTTTGTATTTTATTTTTCCATGTTCATCGTGGAAGTGAGAAAAAGAAAAGAAATTATTGTAGTCCCTTAACTAGGTAAAAAAAGAAAATAAAAGATTGTATTTTATGTTTAAATGAATAAAAAGGAAAGTATGTGATATATTAATATAAGTGAGATTTTCTTTTTATTCTTTTGTATTTTGAAGGGAATTTTTGTATTGTAAAAAATATACAATTCGACTTATTTATCACCAAATCTTACTACTTTTGGTCAGAAATGAATCATATAATTTAAAGAAATTTCTTTGTAATCATTTCTCATTTGACTTATTAACTGAATATGAAAAAATTGTTATTTTTCATTTAATTTCTTATCATTTCTCACCAAATCACATGATACAAATTGACATGTAGATGTACAAGGCTCCTACTAAAATAGAGTTTTGGAAGGGCAAGATATAATTTGTGACTCGAACTTACTCGACCACAAATGTACAGCCGCCTTTCCATGGTACATTAAATCTCGGAAAGTGAAAAACTGACGTTGTGTTTAAATCATAGATTTGAGAGAGAATTTGTGAATGAAAAAAATAAAAAGGTGGAAATGATTGCCTCAACGCCTTTAGTTGTTCGACCCCAATAAACGCTTCCAAATCCACCCTCGCCGATCTTGTTATCGTTATGGAAGTTGTTTGTTGCATGAAGTAGCTCCTTGAGAGTGTAGATTTCCCAGGGGTAATCCCTACACTTACTTATCCTTGAAAAAAAGAAACGAAAGTAAAGAAGAAATATTAGACTTTTTTTTTTTCTATAACAAATTATTGAATCTATGGAAGTGAATAAATGTTATTCAGTTAAGCAGTGTACCTGATTTTTGGTTTTTCTTGAGAGAAGCAACCAAAACATCCTCTAAACATTTTTGCAGTGGAAGAAAAGGGGCTAGATGAATGAAGATGACGTACAACCAGTATGTGAAAAAGTGAGACGTGAGGAAAAGAACATGTGGATCTAAGAAGAAGGTACTAAAAATTTGGATATTTCAATGCCTTAAAGAGGGTGTGGAGTCCTTTGGTGAAGACAAGAGGCAGCCTAGGAAGTCATGCCCTTTGCAGTGTAATGTGGTGTTGGGGAGGATAGAGAAATGTACAATTTAAATTTCTAAATTCATTCAAAACTGTTAGATTGAATTTGAAACAAATCAAAAGTCATGTGATTGTGAATAAATTTAAAATTTAATACCATGGGTTGCTAATTAATCAGGGATAATATTGTGTAAACAAAGTTTTTTTGTTTTTTGTTTTTTTTATCAGCGAAAGTCAACTGTTTGTTTGTTAGATTAGCACATATGGAAGTTAGTCTCCTCACCCTTCCAAAGCACGACATGTGTGTCTTCTAATTCAACTCCCCCTTATTGAGAGTTAAACTTCTAACAAAATTGAGTCCTTCGGAGAGTCATGGTAACTAACTAAACAAAATTCTTATATGAAAATTCCATTCAAATGTTTTTCATTTGCGTTCATTTTTTGGAAGTCAAAATTTCTATCACTATAGTTCATAATTGTAAGAATGATATTGTTATAAGATTCTAATTTTAAATTATATATGAAAATTCTGTATGCATATCATTTTTTTAATTGAGCATCTCCAATGGGATTTTTTTTTTAAAAAGAAACATTTTGACTATTATAACTAGTCTCATCCTATTTTATTTCTTCTAACAAGTTAGCTACTGTAATAGTTATTTTAACAAAACTCTTAAAAGTTGGTTATATTTGGATAGCCTTGTAAAGTTGTTCAAGCAATTTGTATGAATAATTGAAGCACTATATATATATATATATATTGTGAGATAAAATAATTTTTTTTTTTTTTTTAATACTTCAGCTATTTGGAGTTGCTATAGGAGCCTTCAGGTAGTAATGTTTTGGAGTCTAAACAAATTATATTATTTGATCAAGTTTAAAAAATAAAGTGGGCAAACTAGATTTATGTTGGATGTGGTCCATATTTTCAATTTACACTATATATTTTACATTCGGATAGATTTTTAAGCATAATTATTATTATTATTTATTTATTTATTTTTATTTTTTTTAAAACCTTAGTGCTTGTACGTTTTGGCAAGTTAATTTTTCATTGGTATGTGTTGATGATCATTCTCAAGACTTTGTCATATGAATATATAGTCTATATAATAATCAATTAAATTATTTATTAATTATGTAGTTATGTCTCAACTTTTAGTTTACGAAAAGTGTCTTATTCGTTTGGTGGAATGGGCTCAATCAAACCAATCAAATCTTATTACACTGAATTGGTAAAGCCAAGCGATTAAATATGCTCGGAAAATCATACGCATTTTAGATCATATATGAAATCTAAATGAATGGTCGAATCAAATAAGTTAAATAGAGGACTTATTCACCATCACATTTACGTCATGCTTCAACTTCTTTGTTTCAAGGGATGCTTATGTGTAGGTCTTAATAATTATTGTTCAATAGGTCCTACGAAAAAAATTTGTCATAAAAAAGTCACTAATTGTAAGTTTTCGCGACAATTTATAAAAAGCATGACAAAAAAAAGTCACCAATTGTCAATTTTTAGCGACATATATAAAAAATTATCAAAAAAAAATTATTTTTAACGGCAATTTTATCAAAATTTATTTTTAATAGGACTTGATGGAAATTAATTCTAACCATTAGGACCTATTAATAATTTTTTCTAAAAAAATTAGGGTAAATTACTAATTTTTTTACTAGGGTTGGCCAACCATTCAACTGACTCGCTCAATTCGACCCAATTCAAATTTAAATTAAGATGTAATAGATAACTTGATCCAACTGCATGGAATTAGGTTTTTAATTAAAATATGAATAATATAGGAATAATCCTTGATAAATTGAGATTCCCAACCCTTTAAGTCATTAAAGACACCCGATGAATCTGTTGGGGACATAAAGACCACTTTCTTGAATTCGTTGCTCAGAAGTTCATTAATAAATTTAATTCTATAAATACAACCTATTTGTTGAAATTTTTGTTTTTACTTATGTGTTCAATTTTTTTTCTTTTAATCTACCGAAATTGTTCTAATATTTTTAATCTATCTATCCAAATTATTTTAATATTTTTAATCTATCTATTCAAATTCTTTTAATTTATGTCCTAATTTTTTTCTTATTTGTCCAAATTGAAGCTATTTGTCCCTATTATTATTATTATTATTATTATTATTATTATTAGTCCAAATTTAAAAGGGAGAGTAATTGAAGCTCTTCGGAACTAAACAAGACCTAGATGAAGAAAGGACGAAAATGAAGATCATGATGAAGATGAGGATCAAGACACAAATCAATTATCACCAGCATCTCTCAATCAAATTGAATACTTATTCACTCCTTAAGTAAAACACCCAAATGTAGGAAGGAGAGATGAACCCAATTTACTTAAAATACGGAATGCCTATTATAGTTTGAAAAATTACAAATATCTCATTATTAAAATTTTAATTTAACATAATTAATTGAAAAAATAAATTTTTAACTACTCTCATATACATTAATAAAATTACTTGAATTATTAATTGAAATAAAATTTTAATATAATTAAAAAACTGTTAATTGACTTGTGAAACATGCCCGGGAGTATCCATGAGTGTTAAACAGTTCGGACCATCGACTTCTTTAATTTAGTCTCATGAGTACAATGTGAAAATAGATGAGAGTCCACATTTGACAACTTTTATAGAAAATTCATGTTATTACAAAATCTTTATCAGAAATGGAGTATATCACTAGATCTTAGAGTTACCACCTAATATTTTGAGAAAATTACAAAACCCATGAGTCATGCCAAGGCAATGGTTCATCGTAACCAAATATGCTTGACTCGGAACCTTAGATATGAGAGGAGAAGATCATTAATTGAGCACTCCCACTCCCCCAATTAAAGATAGATCTCTACAAAACCATGATATGAATTTTATTAATTTTATATGTCCATATCCTGATTATTTAATAAATCTTAAAAATTACTATGTAAAGCATACAAATATAGATTATGTCATTCATTCTTAAACAATTTGATTTTATATATTTTAAAAGAGTTTTGAAGATGTACAATTCAAAGAAATTAAGTTTATAAACATGAAAATCAATCACTTTGCGTGGTTTTGGTTTTCTAAAAATACTTTCAAAAAATTCGACTTTCTTATTTTTCGTATTTTTTTATTTTTATTGAATTTTTTTAATATTTTAAGCAATTTTTTTTTTAATTTTTAAACACATTAGCATAAATACACTTAAAAAGTATAATTTTCGTGAATTTATTTTATAAAATACCAAAAATACAAAAAAAATGAAAATTTAGTATATTTTTCATATTTTTTACATATTTATTAATTTTTTGAAATATTTTTTCACAGATATTTTACTTTTTAGATATATCTAAGTAAGGTGCACCTAAAAAAGTAAAAAAAAAAAAAAGCTAAAATTTTAAAAATATTTACTAAAAATAAAAGAACACGAAAAACAAAAACCTTAGTTTTCAAAAAATTGAATTTAGAAAACTGAAGCCAAACACACTGAATCATTCCAAATTAAGCGACACAACCTCCATCCACCAACATTCATATAGTTATATCAAATAAGCAAGTAGCCATATGGTAAGATACTTAAACATAGTAAGAAGAGCACGCAAAAGTGGGATACTAAAGTATAAAAACTTATATATTTATCGACGTTCCGCGAACAGTTACAAAATAAAGTTAGTGAAATATGCATGATCTTATATACAGAATCTTAATGCAATTCACACATGAGATGAAAATAAATTTCCGGCTTCTAACATATGACATGTGAATCATCTCAAGAACATGAAGTAGCGCACATAATCACATATAGGAATTGAATAAATTCACAAATACAAACTTAATCGAATTAAGAAGCATGAAACATAGATGCAAAGTATGGATATGATTAGAAACAAAATATGATGCATATTCACAAAGGAAAACAAGAAAAGGAACGGGATAGAGAGAAGCCAGGCGGGAGAATTATTAACACTTTGAATATATAATTACAAACCAAATGAGAAAGAGATGAGGAAAATATTAAAAAAAGAAAAAAAAAAAAACCTCACAAAACTCTAAAATGAAAAGAAAATAAAAGCTTCATGTTCTTTGAAGACCATCGAAAATTAGTATGTTTAACATCGGAAGACTACTTCATTGCTTCCAAAAGAAGTTAGCCGGCCGACCAACTAGGCTGGCCAGCCAACTAGGCCTAGGAAAACCTATCTTGTTACCACACTGAGAAAAGAACAAACAAAGAATATGTAAGTGGCTTAACCAACCACTTCTAGTTAAATTACAACAAAACAATATGAAACTAAAGCAAGAATACGAATACAAGGTAGAAAGTGCAAGAAAATGAAACAATTGAAAACTAACCATTTCCAATTTGATTACAACAAAACAATATGAAATGAAAGTAAGAAAACAAATATAAGATAAAAAATACAAAAAAATGAAATAATTGAAAATTCACCTTTCAAAGAAAGATTGAACTTCTTGATTTCCAAATTTCCTCTTGATCACCTTCAAGGTTGTGAATTATAATCTCAATCCTCAATTCAAGAGCTTGGAATTTGAGCTAGAAGGAGGGTTGTGGACAAGTGTGTTGATCACACTTTAATCATTTTCAACCTAGCAATAATTACTATCTCTTTGATCAAAGCTTTAGAACTTGGTTTTTGAGTAGTTTTTGCAAGGGAAGATGAGATATGTAGAGGCTAGGTAACTTCACTATTTTGACAAGACAACTCTCTTATTTTCAAAGTTTTATTTTCTTTCTCAAACTGTAATTCAAACTCAACATTCTCTCTATACTTCTTCTCTCAAATTCATCTCCTCAAACTCAAGACTTGTGCCCTACTTATATAGGCAATGCAAGTGAAGCAATGGTGGAAGACAAAGTGGAGAACTAATGGAGCATTTAGGGAAGATAATGGAACAAATGGATCATAAATGGAGTTAACGGAAGACAAATATGAAACATTACCCTAAATGGATCGACCACTAGGCAATAGAGGCTAGGTATACATGCATTTGGTGCA